CGTACCTTTTTTACAAGAAAAGTTGTGCCAAAACAAAACAAACTCATCTTAGAAAGCAAACGAGCTTCTATAGCCGTCTCGTTGTGAACTCGTACAAGTTCGCACCTTCATGGTATTCGCAGACAAGGTACAGCATCGTGATGTGTGAAATGGTGGTGTAGGTACGACCCCTCCCCTCCGAGAGAAGTGTCAGTGCGACCCCACCCCACCCCCCCCCTAAATGGCTGTCTCAGTACGCTTCCCTTCTCCAACACTTACCCACCGATTTCCACACTTTCCAGTTTTACACCCAAGGGATTTTCCATCGAGCGGGGCGGGGGCTGTAGCACACATGAAATAGGAAAAACACGTTTTCCCACCGCAGAAAGTTGCTCTCAGAGGCACATACATACAAACCCTCCCCCCTCTTCCAGCAGGAAAGTATAACCCCCTCCCATGTGTTTCGCACAGCGATGTTATACCCTGTTCGCAGAAGCACGCAGCAGCAAAGAGCTACCCTTTTGTAACCTGTAGCTTTCGCATGTACCCCTACTTAAATCCATCTTGAAATTGAGCTTCACAACCTGAAATACCTCCTTGTGAGGCAGTAGTGCTCTGGCGGACGCTGTCTTTTTCATTGAAGTTTCGAATTACTCCAAAGCCGCCGCGGCTTGCTTCCGACGCTGGTTTCTCATGAGTGAACAATGTTACGAGGCACACTTCGGCGACGAGGGGGCATTTTGTACTTTCGCTGCTTCCCAATGTCGTACTCATTGGGGCTGTGATGGTATTACTTCATGACTTCATGAGGTTTCATGAAGCTCCACTTGATAGCTGGACATGACAATAAGAAGAAGCGAAAGTGCGATTTGCCCCACCCCACGTCGTCATCGAACTGCGCCTGTGAGGAATTTATTTTTTGTCGCCACGGTTCTGTCAGATCAGTTGCTATCAGGTTTTTCCTGCTTGTCTGCCCATCTGCTGGAATATTTATTGTCGAACACTGCTATGACTAGGGGTTCTGCTCAAAACGTTACACCATTTCAGGTAAAGAGTAGCGAGATACGAACTGAAGTAATGGGCAGCGATCATGCACCGGTTGTTCTGGAAATAGACATCTGAAGGCGAGACGATGGAGAATGTGCAAGAATGTGTGTATGTATCAAGATTGTAACCGAAATCCTTTCGAACGTGCGTCAGTATTCGAAAAAATACCAGGAATTTTTGAATTTGTCTCGAGGCTTCCTGTGTTCTTGCTCGAAAAAGTGTGTCCTACACACTTTTTCGAGCATGTGGTATGTCAGAAGAAATTAATAGCGTATTAGAGCAGAAGGCTCAGCTAACCTTCACGTCCGGGAAATTTCGTTGACGCCTGCGGGGTAGTGTTTCAAGTTACGTTAGTTACAGTTACGTCTTCGTGGTTATGCTCTACTGGTTTGTTTTTAGCTATCTTACTCATTGAAGAACATTGACTTATCTGTTTTTATGCCTAACACATAACGATTTCCTATGTGTAACACATAACGATCTCCTCTACTTCGGTGTGGAGCAAATGACAAGACAATCGTAACACGCCGCGCTAATGGGCGTGGCGAGCGCAAGAACGAGTTGCCCTTCCTGCCCAATTGAATTCGTGTGCTAGAGGACGAGAAAATTCGATGTCGCCTGTCATGGAATGTTATCTTCGCTTGAGTTAAAACGTGTTTCGCTGCTCCAGTCGGCCAACTGATGAGGGGTTTGCAGC